TTTATATCTCTACGTGGCATTAAAAGAAAAACAAAAATATCTCCCTTCAAATTTACAAAATTTGCCACTCTACAACTCCCTCAATTCTTCTCCAAGCACACAGAGTCAATCTTATAGCAAATCAAGCAACCATTTCCTAATAAGATCAACGGAACTCAGAGCTCCTACTTTGCACAAGTTCTTTTTAGACAACCACTATGTATTGGGATAGTAATCTAACTAGTCCACAAATGTAACAAAGGCCCATGAGACCCAAATACAAAGGAGCATATGCATGAGTCATCATGGAGCTCATATACACTTAAATGGATCCAAAGGGACCAATAGAAGTGCAACATGTGTAAAGCACTCCCAAAGAGTCTATAAATATCCCCACACCTCTCAAAGGTAAGAGACTTCTCCAAGAGCTCTTCTTTCTCTATTTATACTTCTCTCTCTAAAGAGAGTCCCAAGTATAAAATATTACTAATTTGGGCATCGGAGTGTTTACCCTGAGGGATAACCCTCAGGTTTGTTTTACAGTTCCCCTCACTGGTCAACTTGTGATCAACTAGAGCTCATGAAGCTACCTAAACAAATGGCGTCGTCTGTGGGAATCGAATAAAAAGCTTTCATGCTTTGTTGTCATTGTTGACCAAGAAGGGAGAAGGAGAAGCTAGATTTGCGGAACAAGGTTGTTTTTCCTTAGATTCTTGGTTCCAGGTCGTCTTCCCTCAAATTCTTAGTTTCCGGGTCGTCATTACTCGGATCCCTGGTTCCTAGTCATCATTACTCAAATTCTTGGTTCCAGGTCGTCATTCCTCAAATCCCTGGTTCCAAGTCGTCACTCTCAGCTTTCTAGTTCCAGGTCGTCATTCCTCAGCTTCTTGGTTCTAGGTCGTCATTCCTCAACTTCTTGGTTCCACGTCGTCTTTCCTTGGCTTCCCAGTCAATGTTTTATTTGCCACGCTAAAACCTTGTCAATAGATGAGCAGGGCCGAGCAAGATCCAAATCTTGATTTGGTAAGCTCTTACATCAGAGTTTTATTTGCCGCCTTAAGACCTCTTCAATAGATGAGCAAGGTCGACTAAGATCCAAATCTTTATTTGGTGAGCTCTTACATCATAGTTTTATTTGTCGCCCTAAGACCTCTTCAATATATGAGTAGGGTTGAGCAAGATCCAAATCTTCAATTGATGAGCTCTTACATTAGTGTTTTATCTACTGCCCTAAGACCTCTTTGATAAATGAGCAGGGCCGACCAAGATCCAAATCTTCATTTGGTGACCTCTTACATCAGAGTTTTATTTGCCGCCCTAAGACCTCGTCAATAGATGAGCAAGGCCGAGCAAGATCCAAATCTTCATTTGGTGAGCTCTTACATTAGAGTTTTATTTGGCTCCCTAAGACCTCTTCAATAGATGAGTAGGGTCGAGTAAGATCCAAATCTTTATTTGGTGAGCTCTTACATCAAAGTTTTATTTGCCGCCCAAAGACCTCTTCAATAGATGAGCAGTGCCAAGCAAGATCCAAATCTCCATTGGGTGAGCTTTTACATCAGAGTTTATCTTTAGCCCTAAGACCTCGTCAATAGATAAGCAAGGCTAAGTATGATCCAAATCTCCATTTGGTGAGCTCTTACATCAGAGTTTTATCTACCACTCAAAGACCCCGTCAATAAATGACAAGGGTTGAGCAAGACCTAAATCTTTACTTGGGTTGGGCAAGATCCAAATCTTTATTTGGTGAGCCTTTCAAAAAGAATCACGAGCTGACAGCTCCAACAAAGAATGACGAGCTGAAAAGTATCTTCCAAGTTGTCACTCTTAGCTCCGGCTTAGATCCCTGATTCCAGGTCGTCATCTCTCAGCTTTCTAGTTTCCAAGTTGTCATTCCTTATATCCCTGGTTCCAGGTCATCATTCTTCATCATATCCCTGGTTCAAGGTCGTCATTACTTAGATTCTTGGTTTCCAAGTCGTTGTTACTCAGCTCCCTAGTTCCAAGGTGTCATTACTCAGATGCCTAATTCCAAGTCGTCACATTGAGACCCTTGGTTCCAGGTCATCATTCCTCACTTCCTAGTTCTAGGTCATCACTCTCAGCTCCCTTAGAGTCCAGGTCGTCACTCTCAGCTCCGGCTCAGATTCCTAATTCCATGTTGTCACTTTCAGCTTCTTAGTTCCAGGTCATCACTCTGAGCTTCTTAGTTCCAGGTTGTCATTCTTAGCTTACAAGTTGAAAATCTCAAATCAAGGTTTCCTAGCTAGATTCCTCAAGAATAAATTGGACCTCACCACAACCTATAAAAGTAAGAAGCTGAACCCTTGTGATTTTTCAAAGTTTACAAATCACTAGAGGGGGAGTAGTGTTGGGATAGTAATCTAACTAGCCTATAAATGTAATAAAGGCCCATGAGGCC